AGTCTATAGGATGTGTGTAACCATCCAAGACTATATCCCATAAATCACTATCATGACCTAGAAAGAAACTTTCTAGTCTATCTTTCCAATATTCAAAATCTTCTCCATCAAACACTGGAGGTTTGTTGTAGTTATTGTTGTTTTGTTCAGTTGCCATTTGTGTTTTCCTTCTGGATCTTTTCCTGACACGGTTAAGTATTAGCGCTCAGAGTCAAGCTCTGATACCAATTGAAGGTGAGAAAACACTTAGAGGGGGGGGGGGGGGGGTTGAATACGTTTTTATTTTTCTTTTTCTTAAAGGCTTAACAATAATGGAAAGACACAATTATTTTTATCCTAGTTCGTTTAAACTCAAACTACTCCAGTCCATCCGCCAAGGTGATTTTGCCTTTCTCAACAAGGACTTAATTTACTATAATCAAACAGATTACAATCACACAACCAAACTGTTGTGACTAACAAATCAAAGCACAAGTAAACTTACAAGTGACTAACACCACTAAGACTCAAACTAGTCCTAGCTTTCTTGAGAAATCTGACCAAACTTGGTCTCTCAAGGAAAAAAAATACAAGAATTAAATCTTTACAGATAGTGAAACAAATTGCTTCTTAGAAAGCTATATCATAAACTGTGATTTTTCACTAAGATTAGTTTTGCACAAAGTGTTTGTAAAATGATTTGTGAGCAGCAAAATATTTTCACGTAGTTTGGTTTTTAGGCTTGCAATAAATTATCTTCTATTTATAGCATGAAGAAAACGACTGTTGTTGCCTTCAAAAGTGGAGAGCAATTAATGTTTGCGTGTTTGCTTGCAGTATTGAATTTTCCAATGAACTAGCGTAGACACTTGAGCGCATGTAGCCGTCTTTGCATTAAATGAGCAAACGACACTTGTCAGAGCATGTTTTCTGAAACTTGACAAGACTTGTTAGCTTCTTTATTCTTTCAGAACTAGCTTCACGTCTTGCTTCAAAATATGCTTGCAAATCTTCTTATCAGCGCTTGCTTGCATAATTCTTTTGAACAAAGTTCACATGGAAACTTGCTAAGCTTTAGAAGATGCATAAATTAGTTTTTTATCAGAGTCAGCATCAGAACTTGCGCTAAAACAAATAGTTCTTTCATCAAAGAACTTCTTCATTTATTTTTAGCTCAGCACGTCAAAATGATTTTCATCTAAGAAAATACTCCAGTCATAACATTATCTGAAACAAATAAATATGCTCATCAGAGTATCAATTATATAAAATATATTTTATTATTATCATCAAAACTCTGAGATATGATCAGAACCAATCTTGTTCTAACAAATAGTATAATATTACTTTTTAGAAAAAGTTTTTCTTGAGCCTTGCGTCTGTTTTCCTTCTAAGGAAGCAATCCATCTGAACCATCCATCTTGCTATCATGACACAAGTGGATTCTTACTTTCCAGCTGAGCCTTTATTTTATTATTTTTACTCCCAAACATTTCAAAAAATTTCCTCTATAAATAGAGAGTTCATTTGCATATCAAGAAAGAAAGGAAGAAAAGGGGGGAACATATCTTCAAAATTCATATACACTATAAAATTCTCAAACACTTAAACACTTTTGCAAATCCAAACCCATAATCCAAATACTTGTCCCTTTCAAATCTGAAAAAATCCTTACATCTTACTATCCCTCGAATCCAACAAAGAAGAAAATTTCACTTGTTTTGCTCTTTCGAATCCAGTGTCAAAGGCTCACCCTTGGTCTTTTTCTTCGAATCGAGAGGTATTCAAGGCAACCACTTCAAGGTCTAGCACACGTTTCAGCCTCCAGCAAGGTAAGTCATTCTTAACCTTTGACCATTCGTTTCCAGCATATCATGTAAATAAGTTTTCTTTTCGTTTCAAACATGTACATACTATTTTCTTCTTTTCGTTTCCACTCTTCTAATGTGTGTCATAGTTAACAATCTTCTTGGATTTTGCTATTTGTACATTTAAACATGTTTTCAGAACTAATCTAGCCTTAAGGTGATGTTGACATGACCTTGGGCCATGTTGCTATTCAAACTCAAACGAAAGAAACAGGAGACAGAAAGTTAGAAACGAAGTCTCTGGCTTTCATACTAACCTTCAGGCCAAACGAAAGAGGCATCCAGAAGGCACAACATGCTGGCCTCCAGGCCCCAAACGAAAGACACAACATGCTGGCCTCCAGACTCCAATCGAAAGTCATGCCTTCACCCATTTTCAGGCCAGATCGAAGAGAGCTAGAAAGTGCAGAATTGAAGGGTTTGCTGCCTTAAATCGAAAGATCCACTTTTCTTGCTTTTATCTTATTTTTGCCTTTATATTTTCATGCAATTCAATATGGTTGTAATAATGTAAGATTTTATCTTTATGCACTTTTGACTTTAAATAGTCATGTTATGCATGTGAGACGTCTTAGTAAAAACAATAAAAAATACAAGATCATAGTCCCTCGATGACGCTTCAAATGTTGCCTTACAAATGATCTTAGTCCCTCAAGAGAAATGCTAAGATATCTCACAATATTTCTATCATGGTTATACGATAGCCCACTGTTGGCTGAAGATTTTGATGATATTATTAGAAGCGAAGGAAATTGGACGTTTCGATTGAAATAAAGCAAGATGTCATGTTTCGAAATGGTAGAAGCAGTGCTTCGAATGGGCATATCAAAGCTTGGAGCTTCGAGTGACAGTTATGAGGATATATTCAAATAAGTCTCGAAATGTTAACAAGGATGTGTCCAAGAAATACGTTCGAAGCGAAGAAGTGCCAAAACATTTGAAATTCAAATGCAAGCGGGATGTTCGAAATTTGAAATATATGCGCTGGAGCATTCGAAGACGCGTGGAAGCAAGAGAGAGGCATTGCTCTGCATGTTCTGAACGTGGCAGAATCTTATAGCAAGACCGTTATAGTCGAAGTAGTATAAATAGAAGTCTTAGCATTATGATTTCGTGTGTCATATCTATTGTACAAAAAACTCAGTAAACATTCAAAATACCACATGGCTAGGAAAACGAATGCACGAGCAATGTACGTATGATAACACCAAGTGTTTATGATTTAATGAAACTCTTTATCATTTCCAGTATTTTCCTTTATCTTCATGTCAATACCATTCAAAAGCTTTTGCACTAAAATGTTTTCATTCGAAGTCTTTTTACTAATGTCTTACATTTAAATGCTTTCTTTCCATTTCAAATACTTTACATTTCAGAAACTGTTGCACATTTCATGCCTTTATCTTCCAGCTTTTATCATTCAAACACCTTTCTTTTACTTAAAGTCATTTTACTGTTTTCTTGCATTTAAACGCTTTCTTCATATTTCGAATCTTTTACATTCCAGAGAATCTTTTACATTACATGTTTTTATGCTTCGAAGTCATTTACTTGTCTTTTCTGCAGTTTTATATGTCTTTACAATTGAACTTTATTCATGCAATTTAGTTTCGCGCGCATTTACTTTATCAAGTTATTAGATCTTCAATAGAGTAATCGAAATAAGTTAAACACCTACACAACATTCTAAATACCAACCATGAATACCAGTTCTATAATGAGAGTTATCCAAATGACCAATACATCCTATGATCAATCTAGTCGATCCTGCGAGTTACCAGAGAGATTGAATAATAGTCAGTAAGATTATTCGATAGTTTGGAGGACTAGCGGTTGTTTACCAGAAATCACTGTAAACACCCACACCCGTCCCTTCACATCCAATGATGAAGCTTCTTACCAAATCAATGGTAAGATAACAACATCTAAAGGAGGAGGAAAAGAACGTTTAAGACCTTTTGAGTAGGTAGATTGCTCCTAGTTGCTCGCTTGCTCACAACAAAAACATTTCATACACCAAACACTTTCATTTTGAAACATTTTCAAAAGACAACACTTTGTATGCGTTCTTATAGAGACGAGAATCATTACAACACCTTTTCAAAATCACTTTAAAAAAAAACACTTCTTTGAACTATTTTCCAAACAACACTTTGTATGCGTTCTTATAGAGATGAGAATCATTACAAAGACACATTTTCAAAATACTTTCAAAAACCATCACAAAGCACATTTTCAAACAAAAGTAAGTGATCTAGCAAGCAACTAATAGCCCATAGATAATTGTGAATGAAAATGGTGTTAACACCTTCCTTTTTCATAATCTACCCCCGAACTCAAGAAATTAAATCTCAAAGGTCTTTCATGTTCGTTTCAATCTTTTCTTATTAGATAAAAGAAAAATCGTTGGCGACTCTTGCTATCCGCAACAATTATGATCAAACGCAAAACATCGCAAGTCAGTTCTCCCACCATATTACATAAAAGTAGTTGGTTGAGAATTTTCCTCTCTTTTGTAAGGGCTTGAATACCCCTTGTGTTCTCTTCTCTATTAATGAATATTAGAAAGAAAAAAAAGTGGAGATGACCCAAACATTATAATAACCCTCATAATTGAAAGATATGGGACATCGAAAGTGACATCTTATAGGTACACGTACATGTAGTGTGCGAGGTGAATCACGAAAACGACATCGTTCTGGAACAGAGCTGATTTGCAATCGAATTGATTGGTACCAACCAGCGATTGTCTGCTCGTGCCACTCTTCCAATCGGTAACTCCAATTCCTCTTTCTCAACTCTTTCCTTGTCATTAGGGTTTGTTTATCCCCAAGTTATTATCATTACAATTATCGTCTTAGCTTGTTTTCGATTACTTAATTTTGAACAAGAACTATTTGAATTGAGTATATGCTATTAAATTAATGAACTTTGATGTTGATCCGTTTGTACAGAAAATCAGATGCAGAAATTAGTTTCAATTTATATGGAAAGCTATTGTTTTGAAAATTCATGTTTGATTTTTAATTCCATTGATCTTGTTGTTGTTGTTACTTGCTTATTCAGATTTTATGTGCTGAGTCAGTCATTAATTAATCACATTAAGGACTGAATGATACTCTCTGATTGGTTATGTACTTATTGTGATTCAGAATGTGGAATTTTGCATCAAATTGTATTGCTGGAAATGCGGGACTGAAAAAAGATTCTCCAAACCGAACGCATTCTACTTCAGAATGCTCTGATGATGAGACCTCTGTTGTAGGAAGAGAGGAAGGGCTTGAATGCCCGGTATGCTGGGAATCGTTCAACATTGTTGAAAACGTGCCTTATGTTTTATGGTGTGGTCATACCCTCTGCAAAAACTGTATCTTGGGACTACAATGGGCTGTTGTGAAATTTCCGACTTTGCCGGTTCAACTTCCACTTTTCATTTCCTGTCCGTGGTGCAACCTACTATCATTCCGTTTAGTTTATCGGGGAAATCTTAGATTCCCTCGCAAGAACTACTTTCTTCTTTGGATGGTTGAGGGCATGACTGGTGATCGAGGAAAATCTCATTCGACTTCCTCTGGGGATAATCAACAAAATTGTACAAGCAGGGGGAATTTAACCATAGGAGGCCAAGGCAACCTTCAGAGGGGGCAAGTTCATCATCCGGATACATCGAGCTCCAGCCAGCGTCAAGGTAATACCGGTAGTTACCTCAATATGGAAAGAGCCCATATATCTCTTCGAAAGTCACTGATTTTCTTTGTCCAGTTGACAGCTAAGTTCCCATTGATCCTTATATTTCTTTTGATTATCTTGTATGCAATACCGGCTAGTGCAGCCATTTTGGCTATGTATATACTTGTTACAATCCTCTTTGCACTCCCATCATTTCTTATCTTGTACTTCTCATATCCTAGCTTAGACTGGCTTGTCAGGGAAATTGTTGCGTGAGATCATTATAGCCTAATTTTACCTCACTTTTTTCCATGATTTGCTACCGGACCTTTAGTCCTGTACAAGCTGTGTCGATTCTCTTCCGACATACAGCATTGCTCAATTTTATATAGTATACGCAACGCGGTCTTGATTTCAGCTATAGTGGAGTTTGGCTGGTTGGTACTGGGTAGGGGTAGGTACAAAATCAGTTTTTGGTACTAATATTGTTGATATCAACCAAAGCTGTGGAATATGGTGATGATAGTGCCTGTGCTGTTTTTCTGAAGGCTACCGCGTTTCTTGGGGACTTCATTTATCAATGTTATGTTTTGTATTGTATGGATATTTAATATGTTTGTAAATTGTATATAACAATTGTGTTGTTTGTCTAGTTTACATTTGAAGTACTATCTGCTTAATTTGAAGTTGTTTTCTGTGCTTGGCTGCTACAAATTCTACAACTCTTTAGGTTATATATGTTTCATGTATGGCAGTATAATTGGCATTGATCATGCTTGAGAAATGCATGTCTCAACTCAAGCACATCACATTATCTATACAGGAAGAAGACCAGAGCCGTCTCAAACTTTTCGGAGATTATGTAAGATGTTGGAGTTAACTTCAACTGAGCCGTGAATTTTTTTAAGGGTCCTATTTAACCGTAAATGAACCGTTGAATATGTGTATGAAGGTCCTTTTTTCCTATCATGAAAAAATGTGAGCTCTTGTGTTTTAGGCTATCTTGCACACCTTTAAAGACGACCTAAAAGACGGTCTAAAGGACAGCCTAAAAGACGGTCCGAAGAAGATAGGAAAATATTTTTGTACACGAAAGCCAATTCATTTCATGTGTGTCCCTGCAGTCCAAAATGAACTGTTCTATGCTCATGCAACTTTTACAACATGTTTGAAAAGTCATTTGCAACCTTAAAAATCAAGTTTGATGGAAGACACCATGTTTGAAATTAAACTTGCTTTTGATACTGTTGAAAACATCTTTGACTTTTGTAAAAAAATAACATCTTTAATAAAAAAATAAAATTGAAAGAATTTCCACTATAGTAAAATAATTACAAATTATTGCATATCTTCTTGCTAATCTTTAACATACACAACTGAACACAACATAATATGTGTCATTAAAGAACAACGCATTTACTTGGAAAATATGAACATATTTAAAATATTTGCTTTTGAAAGAGCATAGACTCTCAAAAGAAGAATAAATTTAGAAAAAGATAATTTTTAATATTTTTATCTATAAGAGCGAAAATTATAATAAAAAAACATATGAGCATGTTATTTTATTTCACTTAGTTAAAATATTTCAAAAAAGAATAAATTTAGAAAACAAGATAGTTTTGAAGATATAAATATAAATAATAAATACCTTCAAGAAAAGAAGTCTACAAGATTGTAGAAGAATTAAGATGAGGTTCTTAAACATTCTTGTTGGACAAAATCCTAAGACCAAAATTCCACGTGTCAAAACCACATCCAATAATGTGTTTTCACTCCATGTACCCACCACAAAACCAGTGTCTCTTAGTTTATGTTTGATGACAACATTAACAAAGTAAAAAAAATGGTGGCAACAATTTCTGTTTCTTGTCCAAATTCCACACTTTTGAAGAACCCCATCTACTTGAAACACTCAAGTTCGAATTTTTATGGTAGTTCTTTAAAGGGTCTCTCCTTGAATCTCAAACCAAGACAACAAAGAAGAGACTCAACCAATTTTGTTGTTGCTTCTTCATCCACATCTCCTTCTGCAACAACAAGCAACTCTAATGGGAGATTTTACTTCAACATCACTGGTTTTCCTTTTCCACTTGGCCCTTTCCTCAATAGACTCACTATTAGAACTGAGGTTTATAACATTTTGATTTGTCTTATGTTTGGTTTTATCTAAGATTCTGTTTTTTGAGACACTAATTGCTTCTTTTTGTTTTAATCATATGATGTAGGCTTTGAAGGGAAGTATATGGCTATTTGAACAAGAGCAGGCCTTAGGCTTTAGCAGTGTTTCAACAAACATTAGAATGACAGTTATTAAACTCAAATCTGGTGGATTATGGGTTCATGCACCTATTGCTCCAACTGATGAGTGTGTTCAGGTTCCATTATGATTACCAATCTCTTTGAATATATAGAAACTTGAAATGATCTCTTATGTAAAAAAAAAAATTACTACAATATGCTGCAAGAAACTTTCTATGACTTAATCAAGATCTTTGTAGCACTCACACTTACTGAAGGCGCGTCTGGTGTCTGACACTTTAGATTTAGATTGAAGGCGCGTCTGGTGTCTGACACTTTAGATTTAGATTGAAGGCGCGTCTGGTGTCTGACACTTTAGATTTAGATTGAAGGCGCGTCTGGTGTCTGACACTTTAGATTTAGATTGAAGGCGCGTCTGGTGTCTGACACTTTAGATTTAGATTGAAGGCGCTTCTGGTGTCTGGCACTTTAGATTTAGATTGAAGGCGCGAGACTTTGGATTGAAGGCGCGTCTGGTGTCTGACACTTTGGATTGAAGGCGCGTCTGGTGTCTGGCACTTTAGATTTAGATTGAAGGCGCGAGACTTTGGATTGAAGGCGCGTCTGGTGTCTGACACTTTGGATTGAAGGCGCGTCCTGGTGTCTGACACTTTAGATTGAAGGCGCGTCCTGGTGTCTGACACTTCAGATTGAAGGCGCGTCCTGGTGTCTGACACTTCAGATTTAGATTGAAGGCGCGTCCTGGTGTCTGACACTTCAGATTTAGATTGAAGGCGCGTCCTGGTGTCTGGCACTTCAGATTTAGATTGAAGGCGCGTCTGGTGTCTGGCACTTTAGATTTAGATTGAAGGCGCGTCTGGTGTCTGGCACTTTAGATTTAGATTGAAGGCGCGAGACTTTGGATTAAGGCGCGTCTGGTGTCTGACACTTTAGATTTAGATTGAAGGCGCGTCTGGTGTCTGGCACTTTAGATTTAGATTGAAGGCGCGTCTGGTGTCTGACACTTTAGATTTAGATTGAAGGCGCGTCTGGTGTCTGACACTTTAGATTTAGATTGAAGGCGCGTCTGGTGTCTGACACTTTAGATTGAAGGCGCGTCCTTGTGTCTGACACTTTAGATTGAAGGCGCGTCCTGGTGTCTGACACTTTAGATTGAAGGCGCGTTTTGGTGTCTGACACTTCAGATTGAAGGCGCGTCTTGGTGTCTGAACAATTCAATCACTTCTATTTTTTTTAAAATTATTATTGATGTCTACTTGTTAGTATCATGTTTGGTGTTTGTGTTGGTGGTTCATAGATCAAGAGTGTTAGTTTTGTGAAGGCAGGAATATAGAATCCACATTATTGATAGGGTGATTTTGTTATACTTTCTTAAGATATGCTTTTTTTTTTTTTTAATTTCTTGTAGCTAATAAAGGAATTGGGGGCTCCGGTGGAATACATCGTCCTCCCTACTTTTGCTTACGAGCACAAAATATTCGTCGGTCCATTTTCAAGAAAATTTCCGCGTGCTCAGGTATGGGTGGCACCAAGGCAATGGAGTTGGCCATTGAACTTACCTTTAGAATTCTTTGGCATTTTTCGCGCTAGAACTTTGAAAGACGAGGATTTGTCCACTCCTTGGGCTAGTGACATAGAGCAAAAGGTTCTAAGTTCACCCGAAGTTGGTAATGATGAGATTAGTTTTTGCACATTTTCATACTAAGAGTCTATTTGGATTTACTTATTTGTTTTTGTCTACTAACATAAGCACTTACGACACCATTTGAGAGAGTTTACCACAACAACTTATGGCATGTCTATTAGCTGTTTTCAGCTTATATTCGTAAACTTTTCATTTGGTTATTGTCTTAGGAATTGGGCCATATGTGGAAGTAGCTTTTTACCACAAGCCTTCAAGGACACTATTGGTCACAGATGCTGTTATTTTTGTATCAAGACAGCCACCTGAGTGTATTAACAAAGAGTCCCTCTTAGCATCTGCGAAAAACGGTCTGGCTGTAAAGATTCTTAGTAAAGGAAAAGAAGTGCCTTATGAACCGGTAGTTGACAACAAAAGGAACCTGCAAAAAGGTGGCCGTTTAGTTCTCATGTTTCATGTTTTTTATTTTCACTTCAACTAGCATGTATCTGGCTCTATCGGTAAAATTGATTCTGGTTAAAAGTGAACTGAAAGTACAATTATGTTTAGATAAATTGCTGCAAAAGTGAGTTGAACAGTACATTTCAGTTTAAAAATTACGTTTAGACTCGAAAGCTACAATCTTAGATTCAAGTAGATTCAATTCTGAAAACCAATGCTGAAACACTTTTCATTATTTCTAAAAATGTATTCTTCTTAACTAGTTTTTTTTTTTATTCTTGCAGGATGGGAAAGAATGGTTCTACAAATCTTGTTTCTCGGTCCGTCTAATCTTCTGGAACCTAATGCTAGCTTTGAACAGATGTCAGAGAAGTTGATTGTTTCACCTATTGTCAAAACTCTTGTCTTCAGTAAAGTTCCAGAAAAGGTAATCTTATTTCAATTTGATTTTATGTAAGTCACTTATAAGATAAGCGCTTATTTGATTTTGTTTTACGATGATTCAGGTAAGAGACTGGGTAGATAGCATTTTGCGAGATTGGAAATTTAGAAGAATCATCCCAGCTCACTTTGCGGCACCAATAAACGCAAGTAGGTCTGATTTCCGCGCGGCATTTGGATTTCTAGACGAGTTTTTGGATGACCGGTACGATGCTTGGCCTTCGCTCTTCCTTCTGTTCTCATCAATCAAAGGAAAAGCAGCAAGCTATTTCCCTCCTGATGACATGAGGACCTTATCATCACTAGATCAGTTTTTGGTCTCAGTTGGAGCTGTCAAGAAAACTGTTTCAGGAAGAAAGAGATAAGAGCATGTTGCAAATTGGAAAGTTACTTGTAGTTTTTGTTAATTTAGGAGGCTGATTCTTAAACAAAATGTAAATGTTTCACAATGGAAGAGTTTGATATATTATGCATACATATGGTGAATTTC